AATTATTCTCAGAAATCAACGAACAACTCAAACTGAATTATTTTATCCAGTGTAATGATTATTGTAGGACAAATTAAACGGAAGAAATGCACAAATGGATCCATTCATTCGTCATGGTGCGCGACCCCGTCAAACAAGCCATCTCTAACTACGCTCAGGCCGTATCCAAAAAGCCCGAATTGAAGACTTCGAGCAGCTGGTCTTCCTCAAAACCCCATCGGCAGCATTGTGACATGTCCTGGGAGCCCGTCAAGCTAGAAATGTACTCGCGCTGCCTCACTCAGTGATCACTAAACGAGTCAAATTGAATTATTTAATCCAATATGACGATTATAATCGTCATATTGGATAAAATAATTGACCTACAATAAATATTAAACGGAATAAATGCACAAACTGCACAAAATATTTTATTAGGTTATGTTGCTGGTGAGTCTTTATTACTAAAATCTTATTAAAATGCCATGTTCTACTGAGATTAGATGAAAAAGCGAGGGCCCGCTTTTCTTATTGTGTGATGATAAGATTTACCATCAAAACAGCTGGCGCTTTGGAAGATAACCTTTTAATGAACCATTTAGATAACTACAAATAACAAAACTTAACAATTGTTGATGAATGAAGTAATGAAATATTGTACGAATCTGGAGAAGTATTGCACTATTTCCAAGAATTGCTCAAAAAGACTGCTCTCAGCAGCTATACAGTAAGTAAGCCGATCTTCAAAACTCCTACACGTGTTGATCAGCATTTGAGTTGAAATCTGAAGACAAAATCAATTGACTTCCAATCTTTAGTGATTCGAAAACAAAGTGTGAAATTTACCCAAATTACCTACTAATTAAATTAACCGTTGAAGAACAAGTAGGGCCTCGCTTTTTCATCTAATCGCAGTAGAACATAGCATAACCTAATAAAATATTTTGTGCAGTTTGTGCATTTATTCCGTTTAAATTGACCTACAATAATCGTCATTTTGGATAAAATAATTCAATTTGAGTCGTTCAGTGATTACTGAGTGAGGCAGCGCGAGTACATCCCTAGCTTCTTCTTCTTCGTCTTTTCGGTACGAATGTACATCCCTAGCTTGACGGGCTCCCAGGACATGTCACAATGTTGCCGATGGGGTTAAATCATTAATAATTTGATGACGTCCTTTAAATTTCTTTTTAGAAAAACGCCGTTTAAATTTTATATTAATAGTCGCGGTTCATGAATTGATTTTTTACCTTAAGCACCCATGTCGTCACAAAGAAAATTCAAATTCCATACATTTTATAGCAGAAAGAGACTGACGTGCGCTGAAGTCGGTGGTCGCGCCTTAAAAATATTAAATCACCGGCACTGGTTCCATAGACTCATGGGTAATAATTTGTTTTTTTGATCAAATCAAGAACGATTGCGAATACAATAATGTTGCACTCGCCAATATTTTATAATAATAAAACAAAAATTATCACAATAACAGGATTTAGCCAAAATAATATTCAGGATATTTTGTTCTATTGTAGCTTAGAATAATTTTAGTCACCTCTTTTATCTCCTCTATTTTGAGGAGACAAAATTATTCAAATTAGGCAGCTTGCTACGTGCTTAATCATCGCATTCTTTCGATGTATAAACATAAACAACTGAAGTTAAGCATGTACTGAGAATATTATTTTTCTCGTTGATTATCTGCTTCGAATACTCGGTGACTTCATGATTGAAGCAAATTTTTGTGTTAGTAATTCTGAATTATTGGTAACAATGTTAACATGTTAGTTCACAGTTGTCAACTTTGACAGGAGCACTCTTAACAAGTATGCCATAAAATTTTAAATTGTTGTCAACCTGACACAAAAATCACAATCATTAATAGTCACCCGGTATATTTAACACTTTTTAGGCGATTACACACTCCGTGGCGCGGGGACTGCGAGGATGTTATTAACGCCACTGCATAACATGCTTAAGTTCTACCTAAATAATTTTACACATTTTTTTAACGTTTTAATATTTGAGACGATTTGTGATATGGGTTTAAACTTAGACTGGAAAGTAAAAGTCTATCAAACCTCTTGACAAAAATTTTCTCACTTCTGAAAGACGTACGTTAAGATTTCTGTGTTTTAGAATTTTACAACAATATAGCCTAAATAAATCTTCGTCGATATTCTATAGTACTCGTGAATAAATGTTATTGCCTTATCTCAAAAACATCAATATATTTAATAAAATAATTTTTAAAAGTGGGTAATCAAATATGTTAACTCTCCGTACAATTTGTCACAGAATGGTGCCATATTTATCTAAATTAAATTGAATTTTTATTCCTCAAAATTTGGCTGCAAACAATAATTTTTCTTGAATTTTCATAATTCAATTGTTTGGGGCACGACCCAAACAAATTTTTTAAAATTTAGTGAATACTTCTCTAAAGGCATCAGTGCTGCAATATGTCTTATTAAACGAGAGGAATATATTTTTTTGTTCTATTTTATTCGTTATTTTATAAAAAAAAAAATGGACAATTTGATCACGTTTATTATTTTTTTTACATTTCACATTTGTCTCAAATTCAATCTCAAATGCGCTAGTCGTTTATAAACAACTTCAAAACGACCGATGTTATGAATTTGACGGAGGATATTTACCGTATATGTGATTATGTAATGTTCGTGACGTTCTTGAAAATATGGTATCAACATTAAAAAACAAGTTGTTTGCTTCCATTGCGAAACTGTGTTTGATTTCACAGTAAGCCTATTTTCAATGTAAAGTAGACGAAAAACATTATTTAATCATATTTTGAAATTTATTTTAAATTTTGTTTTAGTTTTTGTATCAGTAATGTCTGCACAGGAAACGAGAATTTTTTAACATGTGTAAGCTGAATTTTTAGTGCAGGTCTTAAAGGCGACAAAATCAATCAGTTTTAATTATTAACTTCCACTTAAGACACATATTGTCAGATGCCGGGGGTGCATTTTGAGGGCAGTCAGTCAGAGTAAGTAAGAGTCAGTGTAAAGTAGCCGATGGGCGTGAAGGCCGAGCTATGTGGTGATGGTCTGACAGGGCCGCACTCAGGTTGAGTGAAACATAAGAGCAAAGAGTTAGGGTGTTGATAGGAGAAGGTGGCAGGTGGCAGGTTAGGGTGAACCTGGGCATGAGAATAGCGTTTTACGCGTAAAATCTCCAGTAGATACCATGGTATGTACCTGGGCACTGAGGGCGAACTCAGGTGGGGCGCCTTTGGCCCACGACACCAGATTGGCGAAATCCTTAAAAAGGTGTTCTGGCTGCTGACCGATCGGTGGTGGCGGTGGTGGCAACCGAATGCAACAGAGAATACGTTTACTGGTTAGGTTTGGAGATTAACCCGGTTTCTGGAGGAAATACAGTGAGGTATGGACGTGGATATGTCATCTCCACTTTGGCCTTGACAGTGCTCTCTGTGGGCAGCAGTACATCCTAAACTGTACATCTAGTGCGATTTCAGATAACTCGACGTCATCCGGAGATTGCGCCTCTAAGACGACGCCGTGAGTTGGAACCGCTGATCGAGAAGAAGTGGGCTGGGTGGACACTCCCAGGAGAGTGACCCCATTCTTACTCATTAGCGGCAGATAAGTCACGTGTGACTGTTTTCATGTTCATGATTGGGGCCGAATTGTGTCGGGGCCGGACCTATACTAGAGTGTCACATGACCGTCATTAATAATGAATATTTGTTGATAATTTGCGCCAAAGCCGCTATCTGGCCAGGAATCGTCTTACACACGCTTATATGTATGTAACTACTTAATTAGGCAATAAAATAGCTAGTTAATAGAATAGTTAATAGAATACACCGACATAGTTTTAATTTGTAAATATGTAGTTCAAGTCCAAATATGTATTACCTAAGTTGTAAGTGTTGTAAGAAATAATTATAAATGAAATAAAATATTAATATGTAAAAAAGTAATTTTTCTTGCATATTTTGCATATACCTTATTTCTTACATATTCTAGCAATTTTTTGCATATAATACCAAATTTCTCTGCCGCAATGCGCATATTTACAGTTAGGGACACGGAATTTCAAACGACAACCAACTTTCTGACATTTAAAAACATTGTAGTCTTATATCTTATTGTCATTATGATTGACAGGTCGTTTGAAATTCCGTGTCCCCAACTGTACATGTTTTTTTTTCTGCATTTAATTCCGAGCTTTAGGGATGACAAGTTTGATGTTAGTTGAAGTTTCAACGGTATAAAAAGTAGTGCCGCTCTAAGAATATGAAAATCACCACTGGAAGTTTTTTTTGTTAGCAATTGAAATCAACAGGTGGTGTTTTTTTAATTTTGGCAAAATCTATAATGTATTATAAATAAGAAAGTGAGTTTGGTTAATTAACAACAAATTTAAAGCGTGTTTTAAGTTTTTTTTTTTAACTATAATTAAGACCCACCAATGATCCGGAAATGACCGGCATTCAGGCAAGACTTCTATCATTACGGGTACTAAGACCAAGTAATGATATGCTTTGATAATTTTTAATTATTATTGTTGAGAATATTCAAGTGATAAAAGTTATTTATCAACAAAAGATTCGTTGAGTAGAAAACTTTTAAACCAGCATGATTCTCCTCTCTTTCACATAGGTAGATATAAATGGAAAACATACATTCTGCATTCTCTGAAATTGAGACTACGTCTCTCAGGCATATCTGAAAACTATGTAATCGATGGTCATGATACTCAATGATAATCATCGTAACTGTAACATGACTATAACTAAAAAGTCTTATAAAACAACAGATTCAGACATGCAAAAAACTGCAACTCAAAAGTGTAACACAAAAGTCTCATGCAAAATGGTACAAAATAGTGTTGTACAATAACAGCAAGACATCCAGTGTCCTTACTTGTGGTGGTACAACACATTTTATACCTCCATGTTCTAAAATATATAACCCATAGCAATAACCACAAAACGAAATTATGTATGTATTAAATAAGTACATCCTTACCCGAATTTTCGTTTGGTGGAAGAAGGGGCGTTGGTGTTACTTGGACTTTATGGGGCAGACTGACATCTATTCCACGTTAGCATATTGTAAAAGAGTTAAAAGAGATATATTAACAATATTATCATTCACACCAATATACGAAAAAAAGGAAATACTATTGATTAATTACTTCCCGAGCGTAAGCTAGGGAAGTATTGTAATCAAGTCCATCGGACGAATGGCCACTTTTATATTTTCTCGACGTTTCATGACCCCTACAGTATGAAAAAACTAGTCTCCCGTTTCCGTCTGTCTGTCTGTATCCATTTTTATTACACACGTAATCTCCGAAACTGCTGGACTGATTGTTGTCAAATTTTGTATGTATGTTGGAATATTATGTAGATGGTTAAATGCTAGCCAAAATTTGGCTTATCATCCCCACCAACAATTTGATGACGTCATTTCAATAAACCGTAGTTTAGAATGAGTTGAATGTTATACAAAAATATCCTCCTATATTTGTAGTGTACTAATTCGCTTTCAGTATTTTCGCTAAACGCTCAAATTTTCGCAAAAGCATCTGCAACGTATAATAAGATTACATTACCAACACGGGACGAGAGTCTCCGTGGGGTAGTGGCTATATCGGTTGGAAGGCAACCTGCGGCGGAGCCGAACGATTTGCCGTTGAGGTTTGATACCGAACTTGGCCCTTTTTTTTCTTGCATTGGTCATACGCCGTGACTACTTTTCTTTGCGCTGTGACTAGTATTATCCATGTTGATGACGTCATAACAAATCTTTTACTGGCCAAATTAAGAACGAGTCACCCCATTTTCTCGAAAATATGAAGAATACTCACGTCTTTATATAATAGTGGTTAAATAAGAATTATAATATCCAGAATATTTTGTTCGATTGTGGTTTAATTAGTAATTTTAGTACTGTTTTAAGAAGACAAATTCATTCAAATGGGACTAATTTCTACTTGACATTTTTCCGATGTATAAACATAAATAAACACTTGTGTTATTTAGTGCTGATGGACAGGGGGTGTTATTTATGCCTGTGGTTTTTACTTTAAAGCGATTATTACAAAACTAAAATCGTAAAATCAAATTTTGTAATTTTGGATTTGTCGGATTATACTCATAGCCTTCGACCAATTTTTATTGATCAAATTAATAACCTCATTTTTTAGCTTAGGTTATACAGGGTCACTCAAAAAATTAATGAATCAATCAATTTATTTTATTGAATAAATCAAGAATTGCAAAACTGAATGCTTTGAAATATTGCAGGCGTTTTAAAGTTATAAGCATGATAAATTGTTAATCAAAATCTATCTGATTGATGAAGGGAAGTTCTGTCGAAACAAGTTTCGACTACTTGAGATGTTAAACTAACCGATCTATAATTGTCAGCAACAAGCTTATCACCTTTTTGTAAATGGGTTTCACCATCGCGGACCTCCATTCAAGAAAAAGAGTCTACAACTCAAATGACTGCTCCATCAGAATCTTTAACGGTTGGCACAAACATTGGCATCTCGTATAGCATCAGAAACTTTGTTTGAAAACACTCTGGGTGCCTTGTAATTAGGGATGTACCGACTAGTGGCCGACCGGTCGGATAAGCCGACTATTCGGCCGTTTTTCATCGTCGGCTGGCAGTCGGCGACTGGTCGGCTAAACAGCCGATCGGTCGGCTTTTTTTTATTAAAATTTTATATAAAACAATTAAACTCGGTTTACAGAACCTCAATTAAATATTTAATTGCGATTTAATGTTTAACCCCGCGTTAAAGTACCATGTGATGGACTCTACGCCAATCAGACGTCTCTAATGGCCTTGTTAAATGCGCGATCAACTTAATCTCAGTTAAAATATTGTATAAACTGGTCCTAAATTGTGTTATTCTTTATTTTTGTACTGAGTTATTAAAAAAAATTAAATGTTAAAATTATCCAAACAAATTTAACACATTTTTTGGAAAATAAAGGAACTTTGGTTATTCCTTTTATTAAAATAAAACAAATTTTTAAGGTAGTCAGAGAAATAAAAAAAAACCCTGTCTGTCGTATTTATATACCGGTTTTAGCAAAGCCGAACAGTCGGCCGACTAGTCGGTTTTTATTGGCCGAACAATCGGCTAGTCGGTTAGTCGGCCAGACCTACAGTCGGTACATCTCTACTTGTAATCATTCAAACTACCAGTGGAATTGAAACATCGCCACATCGCCCTTTTTTTCTAATAAGTTTGAGAATCTGTTTGTTGATTCATGGTTTATCTGAGGACTGTTTTCTGTACCTGAGAGCGCAAAGTGCATAACTTCATTTTTACATAAAATTGGATAAACGGATATTTTTTGCTAAAAAATGTTGACGCTTTTTTGTCTAATTCAGGTATTTACAATTTTTTATTTGTTATATTCAATATTTTATATTATATATTTAGAATAAGCGAATAATTTGTCTGGTATGTAAAACGAGCCACAAATAATTGCTCTCACTGAAAACTGACAATTTGGAGTTACGCACTTTGCGCTCGCAGGTACAGTTTTGTTACTACCGAAACTGCGTGTTTGGTCACCACACAACTGAGCTGTTTCTTAAATCTAATCCAGTTGTCTTCAACAGATGGTTCCACAAGAATGGTCGACCAGTCAGTGTTGAACAGATCTCTGATGACCAGCTCATAGTTCATAATAACCTTACAAGTAGAGGTAATTCTCCTTCGTCTTTTAAAATACATTTGCACTTCTACATTTAACACCACGTGATCAGATTTACCAATAGGATCCAGATAGTCTAAGTTTGCTAATAATTGTCCGAGGTGATAATTAGATCGAGGGTTGACGGTGTTTGGTTCGTCCTTTAACGGGTCGGGTGGAGTATAATCCGATTTTTTTTTGTTGAAAACAACATAAGATGGGACACAACAGTGCAAATAGTAAACGGTTAATCCCGAGTACTGAAAACCTTGATATTTGCCCTGTTCTTGCAGCAGTATTGAACTATTTAGTAAGCGTTAACCCTGTACGGAAGATGTACGAAAAACAGTAAGTAGTATGAATTTATTTGGTACTGATGCCGATACGATATCTGTAGGGAACAATGATATGCGAAAACAAAGTTTTGCTTGCTCTATCTCACCCCACCTTCTCGTTGGTGTAGTCTGGTATTTTCAGATGAAAACCTAAAAATGTTCAGTTCGCGCTAAAGTACTATATTATACAAGCAGACGCAAGCGATAAAAGTTTGCATCTTACGAACTTCCAAGCCGTAAGGTTTTCAGACGCTAGGTTGGTATGTTGTATACATATTTGATACCCACTTAACAGATCAATCTGTTTGATATAAAGGTTAATGCGATATCTAATTGTGCATGCTGCCTATTAGTGGAACTTGTTAAGACATTATTAAAAAATTGGTTTACATTATGGTTGGGTGTTTAACTGCAAACTGATCGAACATGGATTTTACAATTTTTTAGGATTTAATGTATCCATCAGTGAGCATTTGTACTTTTTCTTTAATTGTGTACTGCGGCATATTGACGAATTTCGGTCACTGCAAACCAGTAATCGAACAAGTAATCAAAGATTAGAACCGTCAAGTAAATGTCTGTTTTTATATGGCTGCCTACAATATTACCGACAAAAGTATCCAAATATTTTAATTTTTTTAAAGGAATATCCCTTCATTTAAAACACGACCTTTAATAAAATCGACGAAAGATAACCCAAATTACATCCAGTAAAAATTGCAGCTCTGCAACTCAAACATAAGTTAACATGGGGTATAAAATTTAACATGGGAATCCCTATGGCCACTTGACATCTGGCCTGATATGGCAAAAATCAGGGAGTTACCACCCTCTGCACTACTCAAGTACATTCAAGCAGTTGGGTGGCTTGACGAGTAAAGGAGCGGGAAAACACCCTGATATGGACTTGGGGAAGGTACAATGGGCCCAAAGGCGAGGCTTAAGTGCCGGCTGGCTACGGTCAGCGCCCATAAATTAAAAATCCAGAATCCAGAATCCCTATGGCCACTTTTAAAAAAGATGCACTGTATAATATTGGATCACACAAATGCAGACAAGTACATCGTTGCATTCGTCGTAAAAAAATTATAAAAGAAATTTTTCCAGAATAAATGTTTAATAAAGTTTTATACAAAAAAGTAAAATTAGGGTCCTCGTGGGGCCTCGCGTCGTAGCCAAAGGGTTAAGCAAATCACCTTTAACCCTACTGTGCAAGCACTTTAACACTATTAGTAGTTCAGGCGATAACTTTTGATTGTGTTAATCATATATAAAAAAATATGAAGGATTTTGTCGGATAGTTAAGAAAATTAAGTAGTTATTTTTGAATGGAGTTATACGGTTTGTTTATTTTTAAATTATTACTGGCTTAGATTTTTTTCTGTACTGTAGTAAATCAATGCTTGGAAGTTTGTTCGCTGGTTCTCTGGCGACATTCCTCTCTGCGCGAAATTGCCCAGCCGCGAGTTGCTGGAAACCGGGGATGCCGTAATGCTGAGCTTGCCATAGCATAGATTGATGAACTGTGATTTTGCAAGCTCAACACGAGAGAGTCTTCCTGAGCCCGTGCCGGAGCTTATGAAGGCAGAGTGTGTGTGGTGGCCCAAGCGACATAAACTAGGTAAGTAGTTTTAGTAGTTATATTTTTTTTGAAAATTTTTTGGGGTAAACAGATTTTCTTTTAAGTTTTTTCTAAAATTCTGAAGTTTCATTTTTTTATCTTTTCGGAGTGTGGGGTTTCTTTTTTTTTAAACTTCTTATTAGTAGATTTTTGGGGGGCACGTGACACTATCTTGTCCCTCGAAAATAATGAAACTTTTTCCATCTCGGTATATAATAATGACAGATGTGCAGTTTAAGTTTATGTGACTCCAACCACATTCCTTCAGTAGCGCGCTGTTTCGAATTGATCAGGTCTGGACGGTTTAGTTGTCATTAATAAAAAGAAATTCACAATTTACAATTACGGTTGCGTATAACCATCCTTCTCATGTCTTAAATTATGGAAATTTGTTTACATATCATGGCCTCTATTTATTTATTTATTACGATAATAAACAATAAAATAACTAAAAATATATATTTATATATAAAAAAAAATCAAATATGTCGACAACAAACTGTTGTTGCTAGTATGTTTACTAGTTCGAACTTTGCTTACCTAAAGTGCGAACAGTAATAATCTTGCTCATCATTCCATCGCCCAAGGCATTTTTTCCGACTACTTGAAATTCATAGGTAGTTGCAGGTGTAAGACGATTAATTTTAATTTGCGTGCTACCAGACGGTGTAACTGGTATCGTCTGCCACTCAGATGCACCGGCTTCTCTATACCAAATGGTATAATTTTGCTTGTAATCAGGTCCTCCACTATACCCTGGTAACCACGACAGTGTAACTGCAAATTCCAATGCTGCTCCCGTTAAATTGTATGGGGCGTGGGGTTGAGTTCCTTCTACGACTAGCTGTGTAGCTGTAACAATTGTTGCTACTTCGTTGGAAGCCACGCATTGATAAAAACCGAAATCCGATCGACGTAAACTTTCTATAGTTATATTGCCACCGGTAATTTTAACCCGGTTTTTTGGCAAAGGAGTTCCGTCACGTCGTTGCCATTCTATGTTTGGTTTTTGTGTTCCTTCAGCTTCTTGGGCTTCGCAATGCATATCCACAGTTTCGCCAACTTTTCGCTGATACATAGCTTCTGGTTCTACTATGAATACTGGTGGCTTTCGAACTAAAACTTCCATTTGACCGGAAGATCCTTGAGTTCCTTGAGCATTGTACGGTGTGCAAGTGTAACGACCTTGATGATTCTCATTCACTCGGGTAAAAAGAAGAGAACCATTGTTCATAATTACGATATCTTTTGTCTGATACGGTTCTAACAAGCGTTTATCTTTGGTCCACGTTACGTATTGTAGAGGAGGATTTGCTTTTATATAACACTGAACAACACCAGCCAATCGAAATGGCAAGTACTGAATAGTTGGGGTGAACGTCACCTTAGCTGGATCTGCAAAAAAAAAAAAATAATAAGAACAAATCAGAGCTTTAGTAATAATTAATAAAATTTATTCGGCAAAATTTTAAGATGAGGGCATAAACTTTTTGGGCGGGGATAAACACATTTATTTTGATTAAAAATTTACTATGTTTACGATAATGCGGTAGGTACAAAATGCTTTCTTTACGATTTCAGCGATGTGGTTTGCAAAGGTCAGTTTGTCATCGACTAGTACTCCCAAATCTTTAAACATACTGGAACGATTTTTCTCCAAAGTTTTCCATAGTGTAATTGTATAAGATCGGATATTTTTTTCTGGTGTGAGTCACAATAAAACATTTTAAGAAATTAAGTGTTAATCTGTTTTTCTCACACCATAGAAGCAAACTATTGTAGTTATCTTGAATTCGATGCCAATCTTCAATGCATTTTATTTCCAAAAAGATTTTGAGATCATCTGCGAATAGCAGTTTGTTGCAGTTTATGACGTTGCAGATGTCATTAATAAATAATATAAAAAGCAATGGGCCCAAGTTGGAGCCTGAGCTAGGAAAGAAGGATCTGGAAACATAATTGCGGTACTTTATAACATGTTCTAGTCCAATTAAATACGAGTGAAATAGTTTTAGCAGTGGATTTGAAAAACCTGTAAAGTGTAACTTATTTAGCAGGAGAAAATAGTCCACTTGATAGAAGGCCTTTTGGAAGCCGATGTATAAGACATCCACCTGACCACCACTGTCCAAAACTTCCCATATTTCTTGAATAAAGCAGGTTAAATTTGACACCGTTGATCTCTTTTCCATGCATCCACGTTGAAATGGCGATATGATTGTTTTGACTATGGGATATCTCCGGTTATATAGGTTTATTCGTGGTCCAACTCAAAGTGGAGTGTTATTTAAAAAGGGAGGTTAAAAAATAGGTAATATGTCCTGAGATATACTCTGGGCCGTTTTTATACCATATAAGAGCAATTAGTAAAGTAATACTCCGTTTCGTTTATTTACAATACAATTATTACTACTTGTGATGGTGCTTCATGAGCCAGTGTGCGTTCTTATTTTATGCCGGTAAGTTTTCTCTGGATCAAGTTATCAATTTCATATTTCTATACTTGTGTAGCTCCTTTTTTCATCTTTTAAATGATCTGATATTAGTTGTACTTTCTTAACAGCTTTTCAGTTGGAATTACTGATAGCATGTTCGCTTGTAATGAGGATGTGCCAAGAAGAGATAAAAGATATGAGAATGTGCTTCGTATGTAAGAAATACGTACATGAGGAGTGTGTGGGTCTCACTAAAAATGATATTTATATTTGGTTCCGCGAAATATTTGTCAACAATTATTAACGATTAACACCTAATTCAAAATCCGTTTTTGCAACAATCATAAAGGATAGACCGATAAATCCTGCTTCATTAAAAAATTATAAAATTTGATGTGTTTTTGGTATTGTGATAACTTTTAAAAAGTAAAAACCAGTGCCAGAACCAACACCCCCGCAGCCTCTACGATGCGGGGGCGCAAATTCCAAGAATCGACGTTAGATTCACCAGTTTTTGAGCTTGTTTTATAACTTCATTTTGCGGAGACAAAAACACTACAGCACTTTTATGCAGAATTCCATTAATTTATGAGAACTACTCGAAGTCCCTTATTGACTTATTACTCAACAACACATTCACTCTCCAATGTGGCAGTGCTAACCAATAATAATAATAAACCTACCACAAACTCGCAATGAATATTCACCTTTTTTTAATATGCTGTACAATGTAATTACTAATAATTAAATCAATTACTCACATTCTACGTTGAGATATGCTGAGGCAGACTGAGGTTCTCCAATACCGTTACTGACTTCACACAGGTACTGTCCAGAGTCATCAGAACTCACAGGGTTGATTACAAGTGAGCCATCTCTTCTAATAGTAACTCTTGTTTCTAAAGAAGCAAGTTCTTTAACAGGTGCACCTTCTCGAAACCACTTAACAGTAACGTTTCCTGGTTGAGCTTTTGCTTCACATGTAAAGTGCACTTTCTCACCCTCCAATTTAGTTTGGTTAGTTGGAGGTACCATAATTACAGCACCTCCAGCTATTATTACTCTCGCAGTATGCGAAATCTGACCTTCACCATTCCTCGCAATACAAGTGTAGTCTCCAATATCTTCATGTCGAATATTCGATATTCGCAGTTCCGTTCCATCATTAAAAATCCCTGCAAAACATCAATTACAAACTATATAGTTCTTATGAAAACAACCAATATTGTCTATAAATATATAACATTGTCAGTGACGATTTGTATTTTACATAGAATTTGCCACGTTTGTATTATTCATAGCTAATTATTGGTTAGAGTAACTGTTAATTGTACATTAAGTAACAAAGTTTTTTATTCCTAAGGGGATGTCCCTGAAGGAACAAAAATCCGTTTAATCCTGAGTCGCCTAAACTATTTTCTATCGACATGTTAATCCGAATCCTGACTTTAATTCGTAATATTGTACACAATGTCCACCAAAAAGTAGAAGGCAAACGAGGTGGCCGTATTCCGCTGGCGCAATAATAGTTATTTATATATCAGGGGAGCAAAGTGAAACATTTCCTCCCGCGGATTCAGGTTGAGGCCCGACGCGTAGCGGAGGGCCTTAAGAATCCGAGGGAGGAAATGACACTTTGCTCAAGAGATATATATATTTTTTTTTCTTCGAAAGAACGTTTAAAATCAATTTTATAAAAGTTTAAATGAAAAAACTATTACCGCAATAAACCAAGTCATCTAGACAGTTTCTATGACAATTTTCAAACAAATAAAAAATTAATAGCATTTGAACAAAGCGTTTCGTGAATTGTAGTTTTGTGTTCTTTAAAATGCATTAATTTTGGAAAAAATGGAGGATTTGGATGAAAGTAGTGCTTCAGATAATAATTCGGTAAAAATATTCTGCTCAGTATAATATTTTTTCGACAAGTTACCTTTACCGATATATTATACAATTGTTCATTCGAAAATATAATTGTCATATAACAAATTTTTTGTTACAGTAACTAATTTTAACGATATGTTTTTATCATGGAAGTTATGTATATTATTCATTTTGTTCAGTAAATAAAACTATTGTCCTGTAAAAGTATCGAAAGCTTAGTTAATAATGTTGGATGTACAGTAGAAATCATAGACGTTCAGTAGAAATTGAACAGGTTCGTTAGAAAATTATGGTGTTCTTTATAGTTAACACCCACACATGATACATAACCTCATTATTATTTTAAAATATGGATGTTAATCTTTATTATATAGAATCATTTATTTGTTATTCTTGAAACAATGAAGACTGTTTATTATTATTATTTTACTGTTTATTGTTATTTTTTTTTAGTATGTATAGGTCTTTGTTTTATTTTTCCAATAAAAATATTGTTTCCTACCTATTGTTACAATTACCCGTGTGTACTTATACATGACTATTCTTTACTAAATAGGAGTATTCATTAAATGTTAATTATATAGGCTATACCATGTCTCCTTCTAGCACGAGTTAAGGTCAACCAGACACTCTGGCATTTCTACTGAACATCTATTATTTTTACTAAACACAGCCCAATTAAATACCTGCACATTGTACTGGTCACGTTTTATTTTAATACTTACAATTTCTACTGAACAAACTTATTAATGTACATAACAAACTATTTAAGTTACCTAAAAAAAATGCATTTCATACTTATCATTTAATTACAAGCCATAATAATTGTACCCATCCAGACGTTTTATAGAAGTAGCAAGTTTATAAATTTATAAATGTCATTTTTGACAAAAATGTACTTTAGCTTCCGGCGGGAGCCAAAATAGTTCCTCCCGCCGGGAGGTAAAGTGACACTTTGTACCCTTAAATGAGGGAAGAAAATCACATTTTCTATATAGTGAGTAGAAAATAGTTATTTATTGTATACGTGTCTTAGAAGACTAATAAAACACGCAAGAAACGTTTAAACACGAAAGCGCAGCTTGAGTTTTTAATGCTTCGTAAGTGTTTTCTGGCTACTGCGACACGCGTGCAATGTAACGTTTTATCCACACCCACATTTCAAACACCAAAACTAATCGGTGCGTGTTTTTTTTTCTGTGAAATTGTCAAGAGTTAAGAGGACGTCAAAAATTGAAATTTACTTAAAAAAAAAAAAAAAACTGTAGTCTGGAATAGTTGCTATAGTGCTGCTCTGTTTTGTTGAATTTAGTGAAATTGTTTCCCCGTCTATAAAAATGGAACAAAACAAAAATCTTGCTTCATGAATACAAGAAGAAGCCCAAGAAGCAATTTTAAATTTAATATCTGCAAAATCGAAGTTTGGCTACGAAAAGGAAATGCCTGAATTTGAGCACTAGAGGGAAAAAGAGGATGCAATAATAATAAATGAAATAGTATTGTTGGTATATTTTCTGAAAATTAAAAGAAGCTACGCCTGTTCATCGATGTGGACAAAATTTTTTACGCTTAAGTTAATGTTGAAAGTACATAGAAACATAGACATCGGAAATTGCAGCAAGCTGATTGCTTTTCTTGAAAAGCGAATCTGGACTCTATAAACCGAAGAAAGCGAGAATTCTAGAAAGAGAGCATGTTTTTAAACACAGTGTCAGACGAGGAATATTTAATGACGAAGGTATCAAGTGTAATATTTATTTTGCACATATGTATTATGTAGGTTGCACTCATAATAGGTGTCGCTGGGGCTGATCGCTGCAACGAACTGACAAATCTAACGATTGACGATGTGGAAGATAAGGGATCGTATATATGGGTTAAAATTCCAACTACAAAGACAAATGTGTCACGCAGTTCCATCATCGTTGAAAAAGGTTTTTCAATCAATGTTGTAGAAAGCTGTAGGACATAAATGGGTTTACGTCCTACATTTGATTATTATTATTCTTATTATAGGACCCACACTGACCCGGAAATGACCGGCATTCAGGTAGGACTTCTATTCTTACGGGTACTAAGACCAAGTAATGATCTGCATTAATCAGATTAATAAAAAACTTTTGAGATCCTAGAATTACCGCATACAAATTCGTCTGCTATTCTTCTCTAATCTCACCCCATCGCCAAAGCCTAGCGTAACTACCGACCATTATCCACGCATTACTTGACATGTGACATACTGGTGCTAACCTATTCTGAAAGACATCATCAGACTGTGCGAGAAACGTCCGAACAATATATGTTTCTAACAAAACAACTTTTTCCATTTTGACAATGATTGAATCATTTAAGTGTAAATATTTCAGATTCTCAAATGAACTATTTGTTACTACACCTACATTGGAGATAACTATAGGTAGAATTGAGATTTTCTCAAAACTTATCATTGCTTTCATTTCCACTGATAATTGCAGACATTATGAAATTTTGGTGTAATATGTTTGTATTATATCATCATATATCTGAACAGCAATGTCAATGAGAGTGGCTTCATTGGTGTGTTTCTTTATAAATATGATATCTGGTCTGTTGGCTGTAATGTTTCTGTCTGTAAGTATTGTGCGATCCTAATATAGTTTGTATTCGGTGTTTTCAAGAAATGAACATGGAATATAAGTGTAATAAGGTGTAGTATCTTGGATCAAGTTTAAATTTGTTGCTAAGTTTTTGGTGAATGATTTTGGCTGCGTTGTCGTATCTAGCTTTGTAGCCAGTTGCATGTCGAGAACGGATTGCTTAAGCGAGCTTGGGAAAGTCCGAATGGAAGGCATGTCACTATGCAGGTGATGGTTCCGGCCACCAGAATCAAGGAAGCACTTCGGGAGATGCACAATGGGAGTTCTGCTGCTCATTTTGGAATCAACAAGACGCTTTCCAAAATTAGGGAGAGATTCTACTGGGTCCGTTGCCGGCAAGACGTCGAGAGCTGGTGGAAGAAGTGTAGGATCTGTGCGGCGGTTAAAAGACCCAAGATTAAGGCGAGAAGGCAGATGCAACCACAAAACGTCGGCTCGCCTTTTGAAGAATTGCAGGAGAAGTAGCGGGTCCCCTCCCAGTGCCCGAAGAAAGGAACAAGGACATGAAGAAGGTCAACGGTTACGACGATGGCCTACAGGAGAAACTAACGAGCGTTTACGAAAGGCTGCACTACCAGGATAGAATGGCGACTGGTAAAATGAAGATATGTTACGACCTTCGGGACAACTCAGTAGGGTTCCAGGCGGGAGATTTGATTGGCTTTATAACCCCCGAAGAAGGAATGGTCGTTGCCCGAAGTTGTCATCAGACTGGGAACGTCCTTATACTGTCGTGACGAGGATCAACGATGTCGTCTACAGAATCCGAGAGCTGTCTGGACGTACGCACGGCATTGATGGGTGAGCCATCATTGCTGACGGTGTCGACGCAGCTCCACAAAGGCAGTCTGGAGCGGCTTACCGGAAGTCTAGATGCGGCGTTCTGGATCCATCGAGAGGCACGCATATGTTTAAATAGAGGCCACCGTCGGGAACAGATTCATTCAATAGAGTCCATTCAGCTAGTTGAGTCAAGAGCGTCCAGTGAAATTCGCCGGAATAATTTCTGTACATAATCGTTGCAATAGTTAGTCGTATAACTACGAGTTATTAAGAAATAAATTGTTGAGTTTTAATCCACGCCAATTTTAATTCATCGAACAACGTAACAATATGAATGGAGTGATAGATCCCGAGTACAGACTCATCAATCATCATATTTTGTACATTTTAGATATGATTTATTTGGCAAACTTTTGAGCTGACGTCATCAAGTTTTTGGAGGGGATAACCAAATATATTTTGACTAAAGATTTATGATGCTCTTTATAGCCTTAAAACATGTGCAACATTTCAAAGCATTCGGGTTAGCAGTTTCCAAATTAAATTGCAAAATGTTGTTTCATAATTTTAATTTTTTTTCAAAAATTTGGACGTTTCGGGTAAAAACTCAATTCGGAGTCGTAAACTACACGTGTAGGACTGTGTTATTTGATACAATTTAAAACCCATTTACTATGTACAATTTTGAAGTGACGTCATCGCATTAGTGGTGGGGATGATTAGAGACATTTTGGTTAGCGTTGTACCATCTACATGATATTCCTAATATAAATACAAAATTTGACAACAATCGGCCCAGTACTTTCGGAGATTATCTCTGTCTAATAAAAATCCGTGACCGCAGACAGACGGAAACGGGAGACCTATTT